TGACCTGTCTGTCTCCTGTATGAGGCTAATCCCTCTTTAGTTTCCTTAGTTCCTTTTAGTGTCTTGATGAGTGAGAAACCTTCTCAGAAATCCAGACAGATCCCCACATGCTTTTTGATCCCCTGGGGCGGAAGCTTTTTTAAACAAAAAATTCTGTTTAGAAAACCAGTGTTTCTTGTTCAGCATTTTGTATTTATCCCCATGTCCACTGACTCTATTCTGCAATGTAGTTTCTGCAAATCTGCCTGAGGAGTATATAAGCATTGTTACTCTGCTGGTGCATACTTGGATTCTCAGTTCTCTGTGGAGCTCTTATTAAAAATAGTGATTAGATTTGCTTCTCATTCTTCCTGTAGTGTAAAGGCTGTTATAAATGAGGCTTTGCTTTTCAGCTCTATAGTTTGCCTATTTGATTGTTCTGTACGTGGGTCTAAGTGACTTGCCATTGCTCATTTTGTCACCTTTGATGAATTCTGCTGTTAGCACTTAAATTTGGTATAAATCCTCTGAAGCAGAGTTGGAAGAGAATTCTTCCATGAGAACATCTTCAAGCACATCGGTGATGAACACTGATGCAAAAAGAAGTCATTTACCTTTCTGGGCTGGTTTATCTCTCAGTGTTTTGATACCATGATGATTTAGAGAACTTTGCAGACTCACTGAGATGCTCCTTGCTCTGGAAATATTTGAAAGGGGCTTTTACTACTTTTCCCTTCAGCAAATCAGTCCAAATAGGAATATGGTGGTCAAATATTTTTTCTTTTCTATTATTTTTTAATTAGATTTCAACTTTGTGAAGGATGAAAGGAGAAAGGATGTTTTCTTATTTCAAATAAACTTCTTCTGCAATCCTCTTTAAGCTTGCTAGGTTTTTTGATTTTTCTAAAGTGTTTCTGAATCTTTTTTTGTGTGTATTTTTCCATTCATAAATGCAGCTTGGCTCTGACATGGGTTATTTTTCCTCTGGCTACCTGTGGAGCAAAGTCATTTTATAAGTGCAGCATAAGAGTAGTTTCAAGTTGGTCAGGATTCTGAATCATGACGCTTCTTTTTTGGACTTAACCAGATAAGCAGAAGTAATTGGGGCTGTTCAGTCTGGAGAAGAGAAGGCTCCCAGGTGACCTTATTGTGGCCTTCCAGTATCTTAGGGGGGCCTACAAGAAAGCTGGGGAGGGACTTTTTAGGCTATCGGGTAATGACAGGACTAGGGGCAATGGGGCAAAGCTGGAAGTGGGCAGATTCAGGCTGGACATGAGGCAGTTCTTCACCATGAGAGTGGTGAGACCCTGGAATGGGTTGCCCAGGGGGGTGGTTGAGGCCCCATCCCTGAGGGTCTTTAAGGCCAGGCTGGATGAGGCTCTGGACAGCCTGATCTAGTGGGAGGTGTCCCTGCTCATGGCAGAGGGGGTGGAACTGGGTGATCCTTGTGGTCCCTTCCAACCCTGACAGATTCTGATCTGTTTTAGCAGTGGACTTACTAGTGTTAGCTTAATGGTTGGACTTGATGATCTTAAAAGTCTCTTCCAACCTAAAGGATTCTATGATTCTAATTCTTAATAATTCAGATGTTCTTTGGGTTTCTTTGAGTGTAATCTGACTATAATCAATAACAGGAAGAAGTCATGTTTCTACGTTTTTCTTTCTTCTGTAAACGGTTTAACTTTTTTGTTGTTGTTCAGTGTTTGCAGGGTAATGTATCAGAACAAACTGTTTTAGACAAAGGAGGGTTAAGGCTAGTGAGTGCTGCTGTAGGCTGCATTGGCTCCTTGGAGCTGCATCTTCAGATGTTTGTATTATTTCTCCTTAGGCCACAATCCCTGATATACACATCATAGTGCATATAGAAGTAAGAGATGTCATAGTATTGCTGTGTACTGGGCCCTACCAGAGTTTTCTCAAAACAAAGGTGAATTCTGTGCCAAGTGTTTCTCACAGTTGAAGGTGTGGATTGTGGTGAAGATAAAGCTGTCTTTCAGCTCAGCAGGTCTCACTGTTGTGCCTGGGCTGGTTGCTTTATGCTACATCTGTCACTCTGTAGTGAGGTCCTCCAGATGTGCTCAGGTGGTGGCTGCCTTGCCAGCTCCCGTCAGGGAAGGGCTGATCAGTGAGGCCCCTCTGAAGGGAGCTGCCTTCATCAGTGGGTGCAGAGCCCATCCTCACTTCTCCATGATTCTGGCACCTGAAATGCTGGGGTCTGAAATCCGAGCCCCCGAATTAAGGTTGACATAGGGGTGATTCCCACAGCCCTTCATACAGAGGGGGTGAGTTTGCCTTATAGCTTCCCCCCAGGGTGCGGCCGGCCCTGCAGGGAGAGCCAGAAGGGAAATGAGCCCCAGGGGTCCCGCATTGAGTTGACAAAGGTCAGGTGTCTGCTTGGGGATAAAAGCTGGGACCACTTGCAGGGAGTCAGGAGTGTCTGTCTGTGGAGTGCACTCCACAGAGCTTCCTGGTTCAGGTCAGACCTCCTGACTCTCCCTAGAGCTGGGCCCTGGTCTGTTTAGACCTTTGTGAACGCGGTCAATCGGGTGAGAGTTGTCATGTGGGCACCTTTTTCTTATATGTTTAACTGGCTGGTCTGGCTGTTTCCCATGCCAACTATGGGCAACCTCGGGTCTCTGTTTGTACCACCTGTTGTGGGCTGAGTCGTGTTGTTTGTGGGATCATTGGGGGTGGCATCGATCATGTATGAGCTGGTTGACCTGTTTGTACCCCCGGCGGTCATTCATATCGTAAACAAAAATGTCTGCGTGTTGGTTCCTCTTCCTGCTGGTGCTATCATTTTTGTTGGGCCTGGTCATTGGCAAAACAGCACCTCTTGCGGAGCTGCTAAGGAGGAGCATGTCTGCCTGGGGAAGCTGTTCTGTCTTCATCACAGTACCGGGCTTTGTTTACAATACTGAGAAGACGTGGGGCAGTTCTGGAAGACAAATGTTGTCCTCTGTGTGTCTTGCTGTCAGCGTTTGTGTCTCACTGTTGAGGGTTAGTAAAGTCCTTCCTGCAGTACTTGTATCTGAGGGAGTAACATCATGCACAGCATAGTTTTCTTCATGCAAAGGGACTTCTATTAGGCTGCTAGGAAGTGATTTCTGTGTTTGCAAGAGGCTCCTACAGGGAGATTAAAGCACGCTCTTTGCTCTAAGCATGTTGTCTTTCCTACATTGCATTTTAGCATAGGCAACATTGCAGATGGAATTTTTTGTCTATGTGCCTTTAAGACCAAGCTTAGCTCTTAAACAAAATATTTCTTCTCCTTTTACAAGATGTACATTCATACTTACATAAAAATTGGAAAGTTTATTACTGTTACACATTACATGTGTTTTGTGTGTTTGTGTGTGGTAGTTACAGAAATATTCTTTTTACACTGTAATCAGAGCCTCATTTCTAGATGTAGATGTTTTGTGATCTGAGACTCTGGAGAATTTCCTATATATTGTTCTAGGACAATGATCTGCTTCCTGCTTCCTCCTCCTGACTGGGAATGTGCTTTGCCTTTCCACAGATAAAGGAAACAGTCTTCTCCAGCTCTTTTTCAGTGTCTTTACAAAATTCTTTCTGAACATGCTGTATGAAACAACATAGTGCTTAAAATCAAGATGCTCAGAATTACCATTGGGTTAGAAGTGCTTCCCAGGCAAGGACAAAGGTTCCAGCTTCTAGCAGAATCTTTGTTCCACTATCTTTTTCCTTCACAGTTGGGTACATTTGAGCTTTACTACCTCAGGACTGCATAAGCCAAAGCTCCTTCTGAGATAAAATCTTTTGAGTATATTTATGCAACAGCTTTTACATCAAAACAAAATGCATATTTTAGTTCTATATAGTGGTTTCCTTGGTTTTAAGGCTGAGCTATTTGATTAAAACCATATGCTTTTGGAACAGTTTTATTAAAAACACACAGTTTGAATTACAACTCTGTATTAACATATGATTAAATATTTGGCCTTTTGAAAACCTCAGTGTTAATGTCTCATTTTAGAATGTAACTTGTCTGATGTGTGGGATTTGGGTATTTTTTTTTTGTAAATAAGCATTGTGACTTTTTTTGTCTTCTAATAGGTTTTCACTTTTTTTGTTGGAGCTTTAGTGCACTGTTGTTTTGAGTACCCATAATATCTTAGAAGCATTATCATTTAGCTCTTATCAGCTCCTTGTTAATGTCAAAGTAGATTCATGCATTGTGGGACATTATTTGAGCCTTATTTGAACCTTAAGGCATCTTCTTCTCCCTCACTTTGTAATTCAAATGCTCTCAGGCAAGATAACAATTTGATGGATGTAAAACTTTCAGGTCTTTTGGCTAAAAAAATGATACCTATTGTCAGCTCTTCTTTCTCCCCTCTTTTCATTGCAGAGAACTTGCTCTAGTTGGAATAACTGTCCTTTTGTGTTTGTGGCTTAAAGAAAAAAACATAGACTAGGAAACTCATTAAAGTGAAAAGCTGATTTCATTAATAAAACAATATTCCTCTAAGAGAGATGGAGGTGATAAAGCATGTCCTGAAGGGCTGTAGGGGCAAATTTTCTATTTAGAGATGCTAAAATGGAAGTAAAAGAAAATATGCAAACAGATGTCAGAAAGGAGAGCGATAGAAACAAGAAAACATTTCAGACACAATATTCTGTAATTCAGAATTTCCTTCATCCTTGAGTTAAGGGTTTGACTCTTTCACGGGCTTGAGTTTCATCTTCTTGGTTCTGACCTGTCTGCATGTCCAGTTTGCTGTCAGAGACATGGATGCAAGGCTTTGGCTGGGTACCAGTGCACGTTCCATTCTGGGGGGTGACAGAGTTCTGCAAAGCAGGAGGAAAGGGAATCTTTGTAAGTCAGGCTTCTTCTCTTGAACTTGCAGTCAGAGTCTGACTTGGCCTCTTTAGTTTTATATCTGATACCATTGATTTTTTTGTTCTGTAGAAGTGTCCTGCATTACAATTTAGAAAAGTTTGCATTACAGTAGACAATTATACATTCCTGTGTTGTTTATGAAATGGGCATGTGTATTTATATTGTTTGATTGACCTTTTATTGATCTTATTACTGTATTAATAACTATGGAGCTTTTTTGTTGTTATATTATAAATTTGAGTTGCTGATTTAAAAGAAGCACTATGTCAAATGCTAAATAGTTCTTTTTAATATTAAAAGTATTGTAATTTTCCATAATTTAATTAACTTGTGGCTATTTTTAATTTAATGTTTATTAGTTGATTTGTCGCTATATTGCAATACATAAGCTTAAAATAATGTCATTTTATGAGAAAAACTTTCTGATTTCTCTTTTTTCTTTGCAGATCATGTTCAAAATGAAGAAAACTATGCACAAGTACTAGATAAATTTGGAAGTAATTTTTTAAGTCGGGATAATCCAGATCTGGGCACAGCTTTTGTAAAATTTTCCACCCTTACGAAAGAATTATCAACACTGCTGAAGAACCTGGTAAGGAGTTTCCAGCTTCTCTTGGTTTTTTAGTTTTCCAAAATAAAGTACAATAAAACAACTGAATGATACTGATGATAATTTCAGAGTTGCTTTCATTTTTTTCAAAACCCAACATAATAATTTCTTCAGAGATTTTCTTTAAAGGATGTTATTACACACTGGCTGTGTTTGATTGTTAATTGACAGTTCAGAAGAAAAATATAAATGTTGAGACATTACTTGAGGCATCATTCTGAAGTGATTGATGGTGTTACATAGCTCTTCTTGTAGACCTTAATTTTAAATCATTCCCTCACTTGAAGTCTTTACAGTTAGAAACCAATGACATTAGTTTAGGTTGTTTTGGTTTACCTCAAAAAGAGAAACTTACACTTTTTGGAAGAAAAATGTCAATCTAGAGACCATGCTTAAATCGTGTTAATAGTCCATTCTGGCTGTGGTCTACAAAGCATCCATTGCTTAAGTACTAGGCTTATGAAGGTGATTTAAAATTTTGACTCATCTGAAGTTCCTCTCAGGCCTTTTACTTGTCAAAGCTGTAGACATAGCAAATATCTTTGAACACCAAAAGTAACAAAGCCACATTTCTTCTGAAATCATGTTTCATGGATTTGATTGCTTTTGTTTTCAGAAAGTGGTAGCTTCAGTTTTCTGTTCTTTCTTATAGTTGGGCTTATCACCAAGCTTTTTAGGTGCATGAAGTATAAATAATACTATAGACTTTCATTCCTAGGGCCCCTAGCACAAGCACAACTGCTTTAGGTCACATCAAAGGTCCATGTAGCCATAGCCGAGCTGCTTTCTGAAATAGCAATTCTATTTCTTTTGAACATGATAATTTATTTTTCCTTGATTCTTGTATCTTACAAAAAAATGTAAGATTTTCTCTATTTTTCCCCGGAATTTACAGATCGCTGTCATTCTTGTGGCCCTTCCTCTGTTATGTTTCTAGCTGAGTCTTAGTTGAGCTGACTCCATGACTTGGACTGTCCTTGTTGGTCCTTTCTGTATCTTAGTACTACTGTAGCCCTTTCTGAAATAAGGACAGACAAACATGAAGGTAGTTCACTTTCTTATTCCGTTTTCTGAAGGCTGGTTGCTTTATGTTTTCTGAATATTGACATGGTGCTTTTGAGGGATTCTGTGTTGTAAATCAAGACATTTTTTCCCTTGAGACATTTTTCCTTGATTGTTATTTCATAAGCATGATTCTGTATGCATGTTTTTCTCCTCATGTATCACTTTAGGTTTTTCAGCACAGACTTCAGTCTTTACTTTCATTCTCTCCATGGTAAATATTCCAAAATTCTCATGCAACTCTTCATACCTGGCTTTTGCTTTACTACCCAGAATAGCTTGGTCTCAGCAGACATTCATTTGACTCCTCTGAGATGCACTTAGAAACATCTCAGGCTGCACATGGCCTCACAACACTCAAAACAGGGTGTCACCTCTGACCTCTCGTGCTTGTACTTATTTCTCCATTCTGAGACTTGCCTCTTCTTCATCACCTACTTACTCATCTAAGGATATCACTCTTAGCCTGATGAAGCTTGCTTTCTTTAAGAGCTCTGCTCTGGCCTATTCATAGATGTGCAAAGGATCTGCATTCCTCTGTAAAGACTTCTGTCATCCTGGGTTATTTTGGCCTCTTTTAATCTTAACTTAGCACACAATTAAAAATAATTATTTTAAAATATGTGTTAAAGTGCAGTTTGAGGACAGTTTGGAACTAGAACTCAAGTGTGTTGGAAGCTCCCTGGACCTCATCATTCCTTGCAGGACTTACACAGAAATTTTTACCTTTGAACTGTCAAGCAAGAAGTGGAGTTTATTTATTTATTTGTTTGTTTGTTCATTCATTCATTTAAAGTAATGCTGATCAAGATGGAAAAACTCATTTAATTTAAGAAGCCACTTTCATTCAGAACAATGTTACACTATTTTAGCTAGACTAGGAAGCATTATCTATCTAAATTCTTGTTGACAGGATTTAAAATATGCTATTCCCTAATTCACTTTATTCAGAAGTCTCAAATAGACAATGAGTTGACTTTACAAATATCTTAGTGTTTTAAAACCATTTTTTTTTCCTCACCTTTCTTCTCTCTAAGGTAGATAATTCTGCTTTGCTGACCCACTGTTCTTAAGCATCATTCTGATTAATAGAATTATAATATTGAAGCAGTTGAGGCCCAGTGAAAAAGCAGCTGAGAGGATTGTATGTCACTGGTAAAGCCCCACACTAGGTGCTGAGGCTTGTGTTAATAAAATTAATGGAAAAGTTGGTAGTAGGTATTAAGATGAATGGCAAGCTAATAGGATTTTTTACATAGAGCAGATTGTTGTTGCCTTATTTAATAAAAGGACAGTAAAATAATGAATTACTTTTAAAGACAGGAGGATGAATAAGGAATAGAGCTACACGGCAGGCAACCAAAGAAATACTTCAAAAATTTGGATCCATTTTCATTAAATCTTGTGAACTTTAATTATGATTCATTAAGCATTTTCCTATGAATTGTGATGTTATGTGTATTTCATGAGGAGGGTACAGAATAATCTATTTTCTTCTTTGTGAAGGACTTATAGAGTGATCACTTAGAGAATGATTTTCAGTTATTGTGATCACTTGCTATGAAGTAAAGCCAGCAACTTGTATTTCATATACAGCTTTTGGAAACCATAATTTTGGAATGATTCCTCTGCAGACAAGGTCAAGAATAAAAGCATAGTCATTAATCATTTTAACAAAAACAAATAAGTCACTCTGCAAATTATACTATAAACTGTTGATCTTATCACTAAATATAACATGAAACTTAAAACTTACATTTCTGAGGAGCTGTTGTTGTTAAGGTTGTCTTATAAGAATTGACACACAATGACCACTTCTGTAACATTTAGTAGATTTAATTACATTGTGATTGGCCATTGTCAGCACTGGTCATTTTCAGCAGTCTTGGAGTGTCCCTCCAGAATCAGTTTCTCTGCTTTTTACTTCTACCTCCTCTCCTGTTCCAGGTTTCATTCTTTCTGTAGTAGTTCACTATAATGGTGCCTTAGAAAGCTATATGAAGATCTGTGTTTGTGAAACCAAGTGTGTCAGTATCTTTAAAGTGATCTAGATGAAATTCTGGAATAATATTTGGAGCACTTGCAGATTACTTTTCTGTTGAAATTTTGTTTGGTGCTTGGCTTTTTCTAAATGTTTAAAGCCTGTTTTTTTCTACCTCCCTTTCTTGTAAATATCCCCAGCTAATCTTTGTGGGCAAATATTCACAACCCTCCCCCCCCAAATTATTGTATGTATTTCCATCTGGCAAAGTTTCTTTGGTGTATTTTACTTTAGAGATGAGACTTTTCATTATCAGATGTGTTTGGAATTCATCTGTGCTACTATTTTATCAAGTCTTCAACAACAGAAGACATGGATCCAAAATCTTACCATATTGGAGTAATACTCTGCTGTGTAGTTGGGTTTTTTCCAAGCTGTCGTACTAGCTGGCCACTGTTCAGTTCATTTCAAGCCAAGTATTAATGGCTTGAATTGATTCTCCTTAATGGATACACTTGGAAAAATGAAAAGAGCTACAGCATTGTGCTGGTTTTTGTGCCTGCCCTAACAACTACTTTAAACCTGCCATATCCACCCATATTGCAGAAATATGTGTCCTCTCTGGTTTTATGAACTAGGCTGGGACTAAAATCTTCTGAATATTCTTTCTCAAAATTTACAATTGAGATCTGAACTGCAGCTTAGGTTATTAAGTGGAAACTGATTAAAATGGTTGAGGATGAAAACAATAATACCTTCTCTTTAATCTGTGTATGGATAAAGTAGGTATTATCTTAATCACTTGTTGGCTTAATATGCATCATTCTTTCCATTCTCCAGCAAAATTTACATAATACTAAGGAGTTGTTAACTGTGATGTATTGAGATAAAAAGCCAACAAATCACAAAATGGCATAATGCTCTACACTTTCCCTGTCTCCCTTTGTTCTTATTATGATATAATATTGTCCGGGGGTCCTGTGCAAATGTTTGAGCTAAGTAGGAAGAAAAATGGAACTTAGCTCTTTAAATAGAATCAAAGCTTAAGACTATTTGCTATAAACTCCTTTAGTGAAGCCAGGTAAAGAAAGTAAACCTTTTAGGGTTTTAATCACTAAAAGTGATTGCCTTTTTTTTTCTCCATGCAAAATCAGTATTTGAGCATTAATTCTATTGTAGCAATTAAGGAGAAAATCTGTTCTCAGATCTTGATCTTCTAAGCTGTAAAGAACCTTTGTTCTTTATTCATGTTGTTGAGCTGCAGCCTCAAACAAACAGTATGTTTTAGTGGCTGTTCTTCAGCTTGCTTTGAATACACTTTGAATATAAGAATTTGTATTTTTAAAAAATACAAAATATTTACACATGAAATAGTTGACAAGATTGTCTTGAATGTGAAGATAAAAAGCACGTGTCAGGTTTTCTGAATTTGAATCCATCTCATATGAAGAAGAATCATGGAATCATAGTGCAAGGGACCTTCAAAGGTCATCTAGTCCAACCTCTGTGCAGTGAGCAGGGACATCTACTAGCTCAGGTTGCTCAGAGCCCCATCCAACTTGACTTTGAATGTTGCCAGGGATGGGGCAGCTACCACCTCTCTGGGCAGCCTGTCCCAGTGTTTCACCACTCTCACTATAAAAAAAATTAATTCCTTATATCTAGTCTAAATCTCCCCTCTTAGAGTTTAAAACCATTACCCCTTGTCCTGTCACAGCAGGCGCTCCTAGAACATCTGTCCTCATCTTTCTTTTAAGCCTCTTTGAAGCACTGAAAGGTCTCCCCAGAGCCTTCTCCAGGCTGAACAACCCCAGATCTCTCAGCCTGTCCTCGTAGGAGCAGGTTCATCCTGCATCAGTTATGATAGCTGCAAGCTGTCTAGAAAGAACAACACTTGCGGGGTGGCTGACAGGCATTCAGGTGATAATTAAGTAGCTGTGTAATAACCTGTGTTCCAAAGATCCCTCCTCTGCCGTGCTGAGAGCAGAGTGTGCTGAGAGCACGCTGCCTGCCCAGGGGTGGTGCAGGGGAAGCTGGAGAGCTGTGCTCCATGGGACTGCTCTGTGTCTCTGGGAGAGCCATGGGCACCTGGACTGTGCTCCAGCTCCAGCAGCAAGTTTTGGCAGTCATCTTGAGGGGACCTACAGAAATCCTTTTTGCCCAGGATATTTGGGGAACAAATCAAGCCTGGTTTTTTATTTTATTTTTTTGTTAAGGATGGATAGTGAATCTAATGAAGGAAAATCTGGTATTTTATATGTAGTGGATGTAGTTCTTGTAAATATTGACATGATCCAAGAAGTTGCTTGTCCTGGTTCTTAAAACAGCAGTGAATGAACACAGGTCATGCCTTGTTCCATTACAACTTTATTTTATGCCTATGAGGAAAGTAAACCAGGACACAAGAGTGAGATTTTTTTTTCTATTTTTTTACATGTGTTTAAAACAACATAATGTCATTTTTGAAAAATTGCATACCTAATTTTTCAAACATGTCTTTTGACTATACAGAGAGTTTGTTTATGGAATGTAATGCTTGGAGAACCTGAGTGAACATTTTGATATTGTCATCTGTGTGGATCCTGTGTTTCACAAAAGACCCTTAAAAATTAGTTTAAAGGACTAAAATTTGATTAAAAGGTGTTATAGGAGAGGGGATCTGGGCCATATTAAAAACAGTAATGTAACACTTGCCAGCTCCTTTGGTTTACAAGCAGAGGATGTGGTGTCTTGCAGCCTTTATGTCATTCTCCCTATCCTTCCTTAGCAAGTAACTGAAGAATTCATGGAATATTTTGGGGGAGAAGTGAAGGGAAGAATGAAGTAGGAGAGGCAACAGCATTTTCACCAGACTGGCATAATAAGATATGCTTCTCTTGCCTGTGATGGTGACTCCCCAGGAACCACACACATCCTACCTGTTCAGATAGGATCACAACAGTAGGTCTTTTACCCTCAGGCTGCCAAAGACAAACAGAACATCTGACAAATGTGTAATCAAACAGACATGGACTTAATGAGGTGAAATTTAAGCTCTTGAAAGTTTAAGGAGATGTCGAATTTCCACACTGGACAAGGAAAGGAACAGTCTTCCCAAATAGTTGTGGATAATCAAAGAGATGATGCTTTTTGCTCCTTTTGTTTGTGGTTGAATTAACACATGCCTTGCATGATGCCTGCCTGTGGCACAGCAGGTCCCTGCTTCTCACTCAGGAGGCTGTAAGAACCATAGTTTCCAAAACCTCATTTGCTTCATAAATAATAAAATATTAATAATAATTCCCAAATAATAAAAGAAGTAGTATTCAAATGGGTGCTTTGGGAGACAGAAGGTTACCTTCAGATGCTTTCAGAGCTTTCCTTATGTACTATTTTATAATTCTGGTTTTATATTGCCCTATAAGTAAAATTAATTATAATAAGTGCATGTTTATTAATTCTCAGACTTGAATTTATGTTTAGTTTAGAAATTTTGAGGTGATTGCAACTTTACTAGTGAAGTTCAAAGACTTGGTGGCAGTAGTTTGATCAGATCATGCTAAATCTTTTTGAATTACAACATTATAATGTTTTTGTTTCAGCTCCAGGGTTTAAGCCACAATGTTATTTTCACTTTGGATTCCCTCTTAAAAGGAGACTTAAAAGGTGTTAAAGGGGTAAGTGCTAAAAACTTAACTTTTTAGTTAGGGAACTGGTTTCTGGTTCAGCTGCATTGTAAGATTATTTCTTATATTAGCATCCACTAATATTCTGTGTGTATTCTGTCTCCAAAGAACAAATTCAGATTTGGCATGACTCTCATGCTTCTTTAGAATTTCACTGTAAATTTCTGTCTTAAAACAGTATTTTTTGTTGCTATTTGTAACTTGATATCATAACTCCAAACTCAAAGTTTTAAAAATGTTCTAAGAAAATTTCCTGTTTCCTAAGGACCTAAAAAAACCTTTTGACAAAGCCTGGAAGGATTATGAAACCAAATTGTAAGTATTTTTCTCCTTCCTTTTTTTTTTTTTTCTTTCCCCTCCTAGTCCCTAGCTATGTGAATGTGATCAAGGCATCTCTTCTGTGGATCCCTCTTCTGCACTAATAGAAAGAAAATATTATGTGCTCTGTGAAGTAGTTAAATGACTGCCCAGTGTTTCTTTAGTGTAAAGAAGGTAGTGCTTAGATACTGAACATTGCAAAGTAAATTGTGTCATTATAATGATGTGTAAATGCCATTTACACATTATTATAATCATATACATAAAACCTGTCAATAGTAAGTAATTCTGCCATTTTCCTGCCAAGTCAGTAGGTTCTTTATGCTTTACACTGGAGAATAAAGGGCTGAAGGGTATGGATCACATCATATAGAAAAAATGAGGTCCCGTCCCCCACAGGTAGCACACAAACTAGAGAAAAGAGTCAAAGAATGGAAGGAAGGAAGGAAGGAAGGAAGGAAGGAGGGAGAGGCAGTTTCATGACTCCATTACTTCTGGTCAGTGGAGGGAAAAAATAAAAAAAAAGGATTTTGTGTCCTAGAGGAATTCATCTTCAGAATAGCTTCTTTAATATTTCCGGATTATTTCTGTTTTCTAAGTGGTACTAGATCACACAGTAGTAATTAAGAAATTCTCTAAAATGTTTTCTAATTAACATTTCAGTACAAAAATTGAAAAGGAAAAAAGAGAACATGCAAAACAGCATGGGATGATAAGAACTGAAATAACAGGAGCTGAGATAGCAGAGGAGATGGAGAAGGAGAGGCGGCTATTTCAGCTACAAATGTGTGAAGTAAGAAACAAGTTTCAGCTTTTAATAATGACACCATAACTTAAAAGTACCTTGTGGGCCTTACTTAGAGGTGGTGAAATTTCCTTCATTATTCTGTGGGGGTGGAGGGAGGAAATTGTTTCGGTGTTACATAGTACAACAATGTAAAGATAATTATTTTAGCCAAAACTTGGCTTTCTTTTGTTATACTCCTTTGTTTTTAGATTATTATGCTGAAGTTCTTGAGCTGAAAATATACTGTGGAAGTATTTGTCAATATTTTTATGGTTGACAAGGTCAGGAAGTATTTTTTGATATCTCTCTTCCGACATGCTTCCTGAAGCCTTATAAAATGTCTGATAAAGTGCTAGTAATATGTTAGTTCTGTAAAACTACTGTTTATATTAATAGTTCTCTTTATTACATTTTAGCAGTGATGAGTTTAAATTCTGTGGTACTTCTATTTTTAGAATAGTTCAGTAATTACTGCAATAGCATTTAAAAAAGGGACATCTTCAGACAATTGTAAAAGACAGAATGTCTTCCTGAATTTGTCTTATGTTTTAGGTTGTTTGAATTTCTTTAGGAACAGTCAAACTGTTACCTGTTTTCTAATTTGCTTAACTCTGGTGGACTGGTTGCTTGTGAGTCAGCACCCAGGCCAAACACAGACATAATTAGTTCTTTGAGCAAATGATGTTTTATTGATTGAAAACTGTTGAAGGATCTGGGGCATGATTATAAACATGTTTTTCACTGTCTATACAGTATCTTATTAAGGTTAATGAAATCAAGACAAAAAAAGGCGTGGACCTTCTGCAGAACCTTATTAAATACTATCATGCACAATGCAAGTAAGTGCAATGCTTTCAAGTTTTAGTTACAATTTTATTTTTTACACACATCTTTCTTTCCCTTTGTTATGAACTTATTTTGGTTACGTAAGGAATGTTTATCATAACTGTAATCTGCCAGGTGCCTGCAAATTCATCTTTTTGGGCAGTAGTCTTCCAATAGAGAGTATGACCATGAGTGGGGCAGGGGAGTGGTGAAGAGAGAGGCCAAGGGAAAACTCTTGCTGGTTGAGTACAAAAGTCATTTCAGTTCCCAAGCCATTGATCTGGAATGTAATTTCTAAAATAGCTTGTTTATTTTATTGAATAGTTTCTAAGTTTTTTTTTTTTAAATGTAAATTTTAAAACCATTGTAAAATCCAGTAATTTCTCTCATATTCCTTAAAGTGGAACTGTTAAAATGTGACCTTGTCATCAGTAGAGCCGTGGAGGCAAACATGCAGGAACTTTTAGTTACATTAAATACAGGAAAAAGATTTTAGAAATTATTAAGGGGAAACATGTTGACTAACAGTGATAAAAATAAGCTAAGCTATATTCTCTCTAATTTGACATTTGTTAAAGTCACAGTGATGCATCTCCACTCCTGAAAGACGTTGTCCTTAGAAACTATTAGGAAGGGGGGTTTTGTTGGGGTTTTTTTTGATTGTTTGTTTCTGAGGATAGGAGGAGTTGGATATAATTCAGTGGTTTTGCTGTTTTTCTCCACAAGACAATCTACTTTGTGTTATGAATTCTATGTATTTCTGAGAAATCACAGCTATTTTTCATTATAGTTTCTTTCAAGATGGCTTGAAAACAGCTGATAAACTCAAACAATATATTGAAAAGTTGGCTGCTGACTTATATAATGTAAGTTTACTTATAAGTACTGTATTGTCTAAAAACTAGAAATATTTTGTTCATATAAATACATTTTAGATCTGACTACCATGGTGTTTATTTAATTTGTATCTTATAAATAAAAAGTGTATTCTTTGAAATTTGGCATATAGCTAGGCTGGGGAAGAAGCATCTTGACTATCTTAAACTTTGTAGTCTGTTTTTACATTTATTAGGAAAAGTAGCTTTCATTCTACTACTAATTTAATGTTGCATTAAAATAAAACTAATTTAAAGTGGGAATCTTTGAATCAGATTATATCATTAGCACAAATTTTATCTGCCACTTTGATTTTTCAAAACCAAACTGCTTGATAATAGCACCAGAGTTTTTAACTTAATTAACTTGTGATGTTCCTTGAAGGCAAGTGACAGTGTGGAATCAAAGCCCACTTGACACCCAAGTGCTTTGGTGTTCTTTAATAGGAATTGCAATAATCCTATTTGTTATAGCAGTTAGTTGCTAAATGAAACTTCATTTTCATTCCTCAAGTCATCTGTCAAGCTTATTTGAGTTACTTAATATTTCAGAGACTAAATTAGTTTCATTAGATATAGTGAACCATTAAAGAGTAACAGAACAGAGCATGCAGAGTTGTATATTCTTTTGAGCTTGCTTTTCAAATAGTATATGCATAGAAGCTGATTACGTAAGAATGGACTATACCATGAGAATAAACTCAAGTATTACAGAAGCACAAAATAGTCGAGCTGGTTGTTCAGATAATGTACATCTAAAATGGTATATTGGAGTGCATAAAAAATTCAAATTACGGTTGCACCCAGAAAGCACATAATAGCAATCTCTTTCCATAGATAAAGCAGACACAAGATGAAGAAAAGAAACAACTTACTGCTCTTCGTGATTTGATAAAATCTTCTCTGCAGCTTGATCAGAAGGAGGTAAATAAGATAGATGTTCTTGGAGATAATGTGAATGTATGAATTCTGTATTCAAAAATTGGTTTAATTGATGTTCAATTTGTGTAGTTTTTGGTTCAGAAGAACATTATGACAAACCATATCAAGAATGTTTAGCTACATACCAACAAACCATAGTTTTAGATTAATTTTCTGTTTTCATTTTTTTCTATGAAATGAAATTATTCCTTTTTTTGTGTCATTTTGTAGTTTTAGTGTACTATAAGAACACTTGTAATGGATCAGATAAATGCTTCACCTAGCCCAGTGTCCTGTTCTTGACAATGATAAACATTCAGGAAAAAATATAAAGGGGTGGGATGTGCACTTCTTCCCTAGGTCATGCCACCCTCCAACCAGATTATCCTCAGGATTTTCCTGACCTAGGTGATCCTGAGTAAGCCAGAATGAGAACTGGAGCCTTGCCTTTATGTATGGTTTCTGTATTACCCTTCATCTGCTAACTCCCATGGATTTTGTGCTGTGGTTCTACTTCTCAAACCCCTTATACTACTACAAAACGATAAGGAAGAAAATTTGTATGTTAACCAGACAGCAATGGCTGAGATAAGGCAGTTAAAAAGAAAACTACATCATCAATGCACTGGTATCAGAAGTGAAGGGTGAACATTTCATGTCCTTTGCAGATATCCGGGAATGCTCCTCGAACTAGGAGGTAGGGTATAATGGGTATCACAGCTTTTACCTGAGGTAGTCCTGTGGCTTTTTGCAGATCATAGAGCTCAGGGGTCAGAAATATTATTTGTTATTAAATATGAACTAATATTATTATTAGTTTAATTAAACATTAGGCAGCATTCTGCTGCATATATATGATTGTCCACATACGATAGGACAGTATTGCTAACATCAAACCTATATAAGAATATACTTTAAATCCAGATGTACTGTCAGCCAAGTTTCCAACAGCAATCAGTCATGGGTGTTGAGGGTAAAATGCAGGGCAATAAACACCAAGAATACCCTCCCATTAGTAGTTTGACCATCTCTGCAGTCTCTCCACCACCCTATGGACTTCCTCTCGTGGAATTTGTGCAGTTGTTTTTTGGAGCAGCGTAAACTACTGACTTCAGTTGCAGATGAGTCTTTCTCACCATCACTGCATCTTGTGTGGAAAAATCCTTTTATTTGTTTTGAGCTTTTAGATCTGCATACCCAACTCAAGATGGAAGTGCTTCTGAATCTATGGTCCATCACTGGCTCATTTCTGTTCTTGTTTTTTTCATACAAGTCCTAACATTGACTTGCCTTTTGACTGCTGTTTAGTGCAGAGAAGGTGGTGTGTAACATTTAATCAGCTGTGAAGCTATAACCACATCATTCCATTTCTGAATCTTAATAGTCAGCTCACAGTATCTTGGTTTTTCCCCTCTGCATCACTTTGCATTTGTTTATGCTGTTCTTCACCTGTCATTTGTTGCCAGGTTACTCACTATCATTAGGTCCTTGAGAATTCTTCAGTCAGCCTTTCATGGGTATCCTGAATAATTTAATACCATCTAGCAAACTTTGACAGTTTACTGTTCACCCTTCCCCAGATTGTTTTAGTGTTAAGACATCACATGTGCTGGCACAGCTCTCTGTGACACTCATTTGTTGGTTTCCTGCTTTTAACTTGTTAGCTCATCTGAGGACTCCTGTAGCAGTGCAATTCTTTCCCTTTCATAAGGAGCACTAAGTGCCCATTGAACGCCCTTTTAGACTGCTATCACTTGGATTTTTCCATCTGCCTCTACTTACTGACTCCTTTGGAGGACTGCAGGAGATTTTTGAGACATAAACTTTCTGTACCAAAGCTGCACTGTTTTGTTTTTTTTTTTTCTCCAGTGTGTACAATACTAAATGTACTTTTTAAAGTAGTTTTCATTAATCTTTCTTATGTGGTGTGAAGCTTACTAATCTCTGCTTTCCTGGAATTATTCTGGAACTTCTTCAAAAATAGGACTTTAGTAACTGGGGCAACTAAGTATTTTTATGGTGTTTCGTGTGGTTTTGTAGGTAGCACATTGTGATTATGGCTACTCTTTGTAGGTAAATGACTTGAAGTTCGTAATTTAGTTCAGGTGGAATCACAATTAATAAGCAATGATTGAAGAGCTATTCCTTACACTGTACTTTTTTTTTTTTCTTTTTTTTTTTTCTTTTGAATATTTGCCCTTGTGTGCTTTTGTAATGTAGATGTACATTATATAGCAGATAAACCTTGGCCTGAAGGCTTTCTCTTTCTCTATGTCTTTAATTCCATTATTCTGAGGACAACTCAACCTTATAACACACTGTATATGGTTTTTAGAATTTCTCTGTCACAAATGATGCCATGAATACTACAAAGCACCTTTTAAATTTACTTTAAGACCCGCCAGCTCTTTCTAGTACTTGGTTTTCTCTTACCTCATAATCTGTGCTGTTAAGTTGGGTTTTTTTCCTTCCATCTCCAATGCATACATGGACCTACTAGATCTTTTCCATAGTACTTACAGAGCTTCCCATCCATGCATTACATTAGTAACCTCCCTGGTATCTGAGTCACTTTGAACATAACTCATGCTCATTCATCTTCATTCCCAAAAGTTGAACAGAGAATATTAGAGAATATTTCAAGAGCTATTTGGAAAGAACTTTAAATTCTAAAGTATTTTTATGAGTTGATTCCCAGCACAGAGGAATAAGACCTGCTCTCTTCTCATGTACCTTTCTCTACCACAACCTGATTATCTGTGAAGCAATGAAAAATACCTCCCTCCCTCCTGGCTGCTGTGTATGTTAAGTTCAAGCTACCTGGCCATCAGCCAGTTCTCAGAAACAAAGTAGGACAAATGGGTGGTTGTTCTTTGGTGCTTTGCATTGTACATACATGGCTGCTGCATACAGTACAAGTTAAGCTTCTGAAGTTGTTCACAGAGTATTGTGATGTGGAATAAGTAAATGAAATACTGTTTGATGTTTTGGTTACCTATTTCCTGGATATGTAGTAAGAATTACTGTTTTAATGGGAAGTAACCTAACTTAAAATATTAAAATTAAATAATTCTGAAACTTAGGTATCTGTTGTAATAAAGTGACTTCACAGGCACCAGCAAAATAAACTACCCTGACTTTGATTATAGTCTAGATAAAGCCTAGGACCCTTGAAAAAACTGTATGATTTATGATTTCAATATAAAAGTTATATGTTAGTGTTTGGTATGAAAAGAATTGAGATTGTGTCTTGGAAGAAGAAGAAGCAATATTGTGATTCTCACATATTAAAGCAAATCATAGGAGAGAGAAAGAGAAGGATCAGCTGTAATGAAAGAATCCACTATTTTGGATAAAGTAAACATCTGATCACATTGATGCTCAAGTGTCTCTTTCAAAGTCAACGTGAGGACTTTAACTCGTGATTCTGCTACATTACATGAGTCAGAGCATAATGATGCTGGCAGGTACTGAGGAGCTGCATAAAACAATGCCTCTGTTAGTCAGTCAGTGTTTTAATGCTAAACAAGGATATCTTCATTAGTCATTAGTGAAGTGACAACAAAACTTGAAGACACATGGCCTGAGTTTCACTGGTGAGCTCCCCATCATTGCACATGTCTGAACCTTCAGGCAGGTGAAGCAGGGCTACCAAAAATTACTTTGGCAGGGCAGCAGTTTGAAGGAGTCACACTGAGGCCCTGGTTGCACGTGGGTCGTGGTTTAACCTCAGCTGGTGACTGAAGGCCTGCAGGTGCTGCCCACTGCTCCCCCCTTAGGGGAGAACTGGGAGGTCAGGAAAACAAAGCCCCGTGGATTGAGAGAAGGGCCATTTAATAGAACAACACAAAGAGAGGGGAAGCAACAATAATATTGATAATACTAGTGAAATAATAGATAAAGGAAGGGATAATAAACCACGTATCCGAGATGCAGCTCTCCCTGCTCCAGCCAGTTCTTTGCCTAAGAATTACCTGATTTTGTAAAATGTCGGTGGTTTATAGCTTTGGGGAAAAATATTTTAAGTCATTTAATTTTGTGTAAAGCATTTATTTTGTACGTTGAAAAATGCTGATATGTGAAGAGGCTTAGATTCTAAAGTGAACCAGACAGTTAATACAGGCTTCTTATTCCCTATTTTTCTATATTAATTACTGGTACAAATGTAACTTAACAACTTTAGGTTGAACATAGCTAGACTTTAGAACCACATTTTGTGTCTGTTTCCTCAACTATTTCTTTACATTTTTGTTTGTTTCCCCAAATCTGTAGATGATACATCCCTTGAACAGGAATGGTATCTCATTACTTTCTTTCTTATGCTAATATCAATAGGACCCTGATTCCAATGGGGGCTCAAAATTTATTTATAACAAATTAGCTGCTTAATGTGATGGTGTAAACACATAGTGCTGACAGCACAGTGCACATAGGAGCCTCTACGCTGCTTCCAACCAGTTTTACCAAAGCTTTTCTCTCTAAACTCCTCTGACAAATTTATTACAAAATGAAAAACAGTTGCAAAGACCCTGAATAAACTAGGAGGGAGTAATCTTCAATATGTGTTGGTTGTGGTATTTGTAAGAAACTGCTTTGAAAGAGAAAGGGTTATTGCCAAGGGAATAATTGAACTTCCCATTCATTTGGATTTTTTTTTAGTGTGGGATTCTGTCAAATGTTTTGTAGGTAACTGTTGCACAGCTACATTTAGAACCACATCAATGTGTCCTTGATTATACTTTTTTTATATAGATTACAAAAATTAAAACCTAACTTTGGGCCTGATCTTTTTCAATGGAAATTCAGAGTTAGTTCCAGTTTGGTGGTAGAGGATGCAGTATAGCTATCAATTCAAATTGCTTACATGTAAAAGCCTGGAAGGCATTTAGTAAAAATTGATCCTCTTTTTACCCTAGTTGCTTTTTGAAGCCAGTGTCAGCTATGCAGGGTTGCACAGAATTTTCCTGTGATATATGTTACTTGAGAAAAAAGCACCAGTGTGCCTAAAAAAGTAATTCTTGCCTTCTTAGTGTTGTTAGAAAGGGGGAAAACTGTTTTACTAGGTGTGGGGGCTATAAAATTTATGTTAGAGGAACATGTTTTTTAAATAATTCTTGTTTTAAATTATTTGCTTTCTCTTTCCTCTATTGCTTTTGCCTTTCGTGATCGAAGTCTAGGAGAGTAAGTCAATGTTTTAATGAACTTCTGGGGATTTCTTTTTTTCTGATGTGCTTGTAACAGTTAATCTATTTTATCTAAATGTTTTACTAGATCAGGCCAAAAGTTATTTCAGTTGACTTCATTCACTAAAACTAATGAATTCTATTCAGATTTTTAATTGGATTTTAAAAATAGTGGTTATTAGCATTTGGTTTCATTTGTTTATACATGTATGTTTCTGTGTATACGCATGCTCTATTCTGCTGCTTTCTTTCTGAAATTTTATCTTAGTCTTTTACTCTTGGATTATAAGCTTATACAATATTAAATTTAAATATTTTTAAAGTTATTGTTTTGAGATGCATATTTGCATCCATACTGTACTTGAAATGCCTAATTAAGTAATTGAATCTTGAGCATGCAGTGAGTTCAAGATGATGTGATGTGAAAGCAAGCTTTCCCTTGGATGTAAAACATGCATTAGTTCTCTTATTTTAGGATTTATTAATTTATGAAGTTGTGGTAGAGAAAAGCAATTGAGTAAAACAGGCTTAAAGGTTAGGGAAAATTACTGTGGACATCAAGAAACGTTAATGGCGTTTTCCATGTTTTTAGGATTCACAGAGCAGGCAAGGAGGATATAGTATGCATCAGCTCCAAGGGAATAAGGAATATGGCAGTGAGAAGAAAGGTTACCTTCTAAAGAAGAGCGATGGGTATGTTCTGGAAGCACATAATACAAAATGAGAACTAGTACCATCTTCCTGCACGGATTTTCATTGTTTTCTGCTGTGGGTGCTTAAGGCACATTCTCCTAATGCGTGTGCCACAAGTACTCAAGAATTTCATGGCTCAAATCAGAACACAGATATGAATTTAATTAGTTAATACAAAAAAAATGACAAGCAATCATTTAAAAAAAAAAAAAAAGAAAAAGACAGCTATTGTCTTTCTAAGTCTCTAAAAGGTTACTAAGACCTGTCATAAACCTCCAAGTTGCTTTTGGTGAGGCATTTAGTAAGATTTGACTGCATCTCTTTGTTTCTCAAGGCTAATCTCATAATATTAATGGGATTAACGTGTTTGGAAATCATGTCTAGTTATTGACTTTATTGTTGTTGATATCTTAACGTAGGTTAAGGAAAGTGTGGCAAAGAAGAAAGTGTACTGTTAAAAATGGGATTCTTACCATATCACATGCAACGGTAAGTTATTTTTATACCTTTTTATTAAAATAATAAATTAGTGGAACCCTTTCCTAGGTAATCTGTTGGTCTTAGTCTGCCTTTATGAAGAAAATGCCACTTCTGCTACCAACTGTTGAAGTTCTGTGAATTATCAAAAGTTGGAGACTGATTTATGGAAGGATTTTTATACTACGTTAACTCTTTTTTTCCTAGTTGTCTGCTGCTGACCACTAGTGGAAACAGTGGTTCAGGTGAAATGGAGCAGTGTCCCTGTTCTTACTATGCTCTTGAGATATGGGATGTGGTTATCATGATGTATGTTTATTCAAAACAAAGTGTTTGCATCAGAGCAACAGATCCTGTAGACTTGTCTCTTGTGTCTCTGGAGAGCTAGTCAGTGTAGTCAGAGGAATCTGGGTAGATTTGAACAGACATCTTGTTACAAGCTCAGTTCTGGCTGCTGACTGTACTGGTTGACCAATAACTAGCTCATACACTGATGTTTGTATTACAGATGGGTTTTTTGCTACAAAGGATGTTAACTATTTAAAACATTTTAATATCTGCCCATTCATTTTGTAAAAAAATTAAAATTGTTGAACTAATGAGAGTGTACAAGTGAGAATAAAGGCTGGTTTGAAATTAATTTCAAAACCTTCAGTGGTCTGTATGAAGTGAACTCTTCTTTAGTCTTCTAAAATATTTCTTTATTTTTTTTCCCACTGCTGTAGTTTATAACAGTTGATTTAATACTTAAACGTATTTATTGACAGTTCAATAAGAAAATGGCAAATATATTGAACAGAATTTTCAACTAATACTTCAACTACTTTTGCTTGTAAGGGTTGTCAGGTTATATCTGGGAAGCATATAATTTGCAACTTGGGAAGTGTTTGGTATGAGATGTTATTGATAGAACCTGAGAGATGCGTGAATGTGTTAATATTTTGCATGCTTTCAACTAAATGGGAAATTTTGCAAAATATTATTCATAGTGAGTTCTGGGAATCTGGCATCTGTCTGAAGTATCTTTCAAGGAATGCAAAGTCATGATGGAGGCAGTCCTGAAACTGTCTGGTGGCAGTAGGACACAAATGTGTTGCAAATAAGAGTAACTCCTGTTACTCTTGTTAAAGGGGCTGGTCCCATTTCATCACCCCATTTTACCCTTTGCCCCAAATTCCACTGATGGCCATGAGTATCAGTGTCTGAAGTTAACTACCTATCTTAAGCAAGTTAAAGGGAATTCACTACATTTTGTACTGGAGTCTTGGTTTGTTTTTTTTGTTTTTAATGACTAGGAAGGTATCCTTGCCTCCTCTGAGGAGTCACTTAGTCTAATTATTTATGGCTAGGTTAGTAATGATCCAGTTATCACCACTTAAAAAAACCAGTATATTTTATAGCTCAGGACTTGCCTATTCAGAATTGTTTGAACTGCACTATTTTTTGTAGTTCTCCTTTTCTTGTATGACTCTGGGTAAAGCACTCCATTTGCTCTTTCTGTTGCAGTGCCAGAAGGAAAGTAATTTTATTGTTTTCAGTGTTGAAAAGTTCAGATTGTGACAGTCTATTCAAGACTAAAATTTGAAAACTGATATTCCAGTCCAATATGTACTCCAAGGAATTGTTGTTCCTTAAATGTCAAAAATATTGTGTTGCTGAGCTTGTGCCAGCAAACATTTAACAATGTGGGAAATGCACTTTGAGATTTATTTGTTTGCTGGGTTTGCATTACTTTTATATTTGTTTTACAATTTCTAACATTAACAGCTTCCAAAACTCAGTTCAAAAGTATTTACTGATAATTGACATTTCATGTTCAGTTTATATCTGCAGCTGTAGTAACTTTTATTGAGTATCTCTGTAGTTTCTGATAAACCTTTATAAATCCCAAATATTTCAAAGACATGTTTAGTTATCATGTCTTAAGTAACTTAATTATAGCAGAGACTATTAGTAGCTGTATGTATTCCAAGTTCTGAAACTCCGGATCTCCAGCTTTCCACTTCCTTTTTAAAGTTTTAGTGTTATCTTTGATTTATTTAAAATGAGTGGGAAACTGGAACATGGACATGCTGTAAAGAAAACTTCCATAATGATTTTACTATTGTGAAGTGGAAATACAATTAAAAACTTAAGTGTTAGCATATTCTAAATTTGGGCTTATTCCTTTCATCCCTTTCAAATAGGCAGGAGGAGTTGCCATGAGGATTTTTATTTTGTTTAGATTTAGCAGCCTCTTGATTCTGACAGACCAAGTCACACAGACTCATGCTGATGTCAAAGTGTTTTGAAGGTGTACATGTGTGCGTGCCCATGCTTTAAATTTACATCATACATGTCCCCTCCTCAGAAAGGAGAAATAATCCGAAATCAAGACATTTTTAAAGTAAAACAAATTTTCTTTTTAGTCCAACAGGCAACCAGCTAAACTGAATTTATTGACCTGCCAAGTGAAGCCAAATGCTGAAGATAAGAAGTCTTTTGATCTAATATCACGTATGTAGCAACTTTAGTGCCATCTTGCATGATGTGGGGTTTCTAAAAGTCATTACAAGATCCTTTGAGTGAAAAATAAGGCTACAGTTCAGAATTCAGATCTGTGTCCAGATACATTGCAATGCCTCACAAGTGCTCAGATCACTCTAGTTTTGAAGGTGGGTTGAATGGACAAATGAATAAAGAGCCTCTTTTTTGTGTGTGGCATAAGTACTGCTCATTTGTGACAAGCCATGAAAAGCAGCATATGTGCTGTTCTCCTCAGTTCAGAGAGATGTTTAACAGCTTAGTGGAACATTCATAACCTATATCCACCAGGAAATGGAAAAAAAGACCTTCAGCCTCATCTTGGTTTTCCTTCATTATCTCTTCTGCTTTTTGAGAGAGGCTGAAGGCATCAAGGAGAACCCAGTTCCTCTTGTTCCCCTCCTTCTGAAACATGCTTCTTTTTGTCTAAAATCAGCAGTGACTTGTCTTCTCAGCATTAAAGCTCCTGTGATTTCCCTTCTTCCCCTTTTGATCTTGAATAGCAGGTATTTGTATCCAATCTGATTCTAAAACGCCTTTGAAATCCATGAGTCAACTTACTCTTTTCAGTCTTTACATATATAGTATGAAACCAACATTCAAAACCTTTGAATGTGGGGGATAATACACGGTTCAGGTCTCATCCTTTGGTTACTAAAAGTTTCTTAATGCAGAGGGATAAGTATACAATAGAAACAAATTCATTTTGCCCTTTTCTGCTAGTTATGTTTCAGATCTGACATCAGAAGGGCAAAATTTGATTGATAAGCTTGTTTTTCTTAATATTTCTAAACATAAGTCTTTTAAGATACATACATTTGATGTAAATAAAAATTCACAATTGGATCTTTCTGTGTTTACTTTTAGGTTTGTTCTCCATAGTTATGACTAAATCAGTAATATTGCTGATTAAGAGCAGTTGCTTTTAAAGGCTTCGGTGGCCAGATAGGTTTTAGTAATAAATATGTAGATATTTAGAAAGTTACCACATGCCAAATGAAAAAGATGTATTTATTTATTTCAGATAACAGAACATACCACTTTCAAGCAGAAGATGAACAGGAATACGTAGCGTAAGAATGTTTACATTTTTTCAAGTCTGTTTTGCCAGTAGAGGTGTATAAAATCACGTGTGGAAGCAGTTGTTGTTTTCTCAGTAAATGCAGAAGTAGTGCCTAGTGTCTGTTTTTTCTGCTGTTGTGACTCTATAAATGTAAACTAATCTGTGCCACGCCACAGGGCTCTTTGAAAACCTTGTAACATTTAAACCAAAACCAGAATATAAACCCAACCCAACCAACCAACAACCCATTCAGGTTATTAGGGTTCAAATGAAATACTTTTAAATTCTTAAATCTTCTGTGTCAGCCCTCTTTTGCAGTTCCTACTTTTCCTCCTGATCCTACTTTTTCCCTCATATTAAAAATAATAAATAGATAAAAGATCTCCATGTAACACATTGAAAATATTAACAGGTTATGTATATTTTCTACCGTACACCTAGAAATAAACAACAAAGCAGATCTCTTTGAGATCTCTCTACTCCAGAATCCAGTAACTTGCATCATTAATGCATGTCTCCAGCCAGATTATTTACTTTTTTCTTGTCTTGACAACCATGTACCATTTCTTTTCACTCCTGAATGTTGCTCTTGGTGCCATCAAACATGTGCTGTGTGGAACATCACAATCTTAGGCTCATCACTTGGCAATTCTAGGAATAGAGTTACTAGTGAAGAGGGCCTGAGCCTTCCAGGCTGCCTCCTTCCTCAGCACTGTTTTGCTCTTTTGTTACATGCCCAGATTCTAATGGTAGACTGTGTTGCTCCACGTGTATTTTAAAGGTACGGGGAATGTTTGTAGGGTAGTTCAGTTGTTCCATCATGTTGGGAGGCAGTGGCATTGACAGTTCAATGTTGGAAGGCATGAATGATATAGGAAGGCTGGAGAGTTCTTTGTCATGCAGCCGTTTCCTTCCAGGGTCTTCCCCAGCTTTATGTTGGCTTGTAGAGTACTGACTTAATGGTCATGCTTACTGTGTTCCCTCTGGAACTTAATTGTTCCAGCAAGGTTCTTAATCAAGAAGAAAATAACTCTTATTTCTGATCAGTAATGCACTGGATGAGTCAGAAGTTTTTGTGTCTCTGCCATAAATTAGTTTTTGCTACATTTGTTGGTTTAAAAGGTAAAGTTTTTTGGGTTTGGTTCTTTTTTTTATTGGTCTTAACACATGAGGAAGGGGGAGAATACCTTAGTAGGTTAATTCTTATGAATGGTAGATCAATAAATTTAGTTCAGTTGGATGCCTCTTGGACTGTTTTGGAATTCAGGCCAGTTTTATTTCTCATTAGAACTATAGTTCCCATTTATTTACCACTGAAGTCTTGTCACTTTAAAGCCTAGTGGCTAAGAAAATTACTTGTACTGGAATATTTTTATGTTGCTGCAAGTATAAGAAGTTTCATGTAGCTTGAAACATTATTTGCATCCAAGTGCTGGAATACATGTAGACAAACTAATAGTTGCTAACTCTATTTTGCCTGTATTGGCACTGTAATCCACCAACAAAAAGGTATTGTAGTGCCACTCAGGCAAGTGTTGTGTTTCAGAAGATCACATGTGACCCAAGTGATGATGTGTACCTCAAGATGCACATGGAAACTTACTTTCTTTTTTCTTTAGGAAAATTTCTGCAATATCTTTAGTTAATTGAAGCTCATGAACCAGTTTGTTACTGTTAATGTGTTGATGAAAAACCACAATATAACCAAATGTTCTGTTTTTCTTGTGCAGCCACTGAACAGGTCCTAAACAGCTTTATTATCTAAGGTGTCATACAAACAGCATCCTTAGGCTTCCAACCTTACTGATTTAAGAGTGTTCTGCAGGAACTATGGATGTAGCTCCTCAGTTGTCATACTCTTGTTCCAATTTCCACTTGACTTGTCTGTGTGCCTCTGTCTTGACTTCCTTCTCCATCTTGTGTTTTGTCCACCCAGTTTTAGTGCTGCTTCTGTTCTGTCTCGTATTGTTTGTGCACCAATTGAAAAAGAAACACATAAACAGATATTCAAAAGGCTTTCCTTCCAGACTTAAGTCTAAAGAAAAAAGCAAGATGCATTTCTTTATGGTCTGGTTTTAACCGACCTGGGACACATCTTCCTAATGATCACTTTAAATTGCTTTGATAAATAGCTCCTGAAACTACTTAATAATTTTAAAAAGCAGATAGTTTAACATACAACTCACTGAAGCCTATGTTCTGTTATAGGCTTATTACTGATTCCCCTCAAATATTTCCTTTAGTTCAGTACATTTCTTGATTTTCATCCAGCCAGCTGTCTGTTGACCTTTAATTACTGCTTGGCTGTCCTTCAAATTTCTCAGTGGATTATGAGTTTCTCTAGTGGATGAAGTACAGTGTATGGGGGCGGGGGAAGTGTGTCAGTGTAGGTGTGTGTATACATATATATTTATAAGTATCATATATGAAACAGCTTCAGCTCTCTAAATTAACCAGATTATTTGTAACATATACAATAACAGATGCTTTCTACTTTTTGTTAGTTGTGGATAGAGCCAAACATAGTCCAGACATGTGCTTTTAAGTTTTTTTCTATCCTCTTTTTGAAGGTCAAGAGTATATCCATTTCCATAGGAAATCCCTGGATTATAAAAGAGCTAGATTCAGAAATTTTGTTATGACGTAACACACATCTAACTTTAGTCTAGTGTTCAGCAGCAGTCTTCACGCATTTTTTACTTTGGGAGAAATTGATGGGAAAGCCTTGATGCTATCTGTTGCTTTTTCTGTAGAAAGAAATCGTTCCTATATATTTGAAAAATATTATACTTTTCTTCTGTTTATACATTTAGCTGGAAAAAACAATGTTGCAATAGCAATTTTCAGAAGATACTGAGAAATTTTTATTGCAAACCAAAAAAACCCTATTAGACTCATTGTTACTGTAGGGGAGCTTTTATTGATTTAGAAATACTGAAAAAAAAAATGACAGGAATATGGGTGATAGTCTAGTTCACCTGAGATGAATGATTACTTCTGCCTCCTTGATTGGATCCAGAAGTCACCCATGATGCCAGATTTTTATTTAGCCTCCTGAGTTTCCTAAAAAATGGGCATCTCCAGCAATCCAAATGCCTTAAAGGATTATAAGAAACTGCAGAAATCCAGAAAAAAAAAATGTAATATAAGATCGGTCAACCTGTCTTATTGTATTAGAAGACAAAGCAGTTCTGTAAGACTTGAGTAACTTTAAAATTATTTGAAAGAACACTTAATTATTACCAGAAGCTTTTTGACTGTTAGTGTGACACTGATGGTATTATAAAATAAAGGGGGGGGAAATACTAGTACAGATAAGAAAAATAAAAATAGCAATCATAAGTCAGTTGGCTGTTGACATTGAATTAATATATTTACTGTCTTGAAGTGTTTATTCTTGAGAGCATAGCCTGCCAGGAAGTCCTGGTGACCCAATGGGAACTTCTTGTGTATAAAGCACCAGTCATTAAGAATGTGTCTGCTACTGTGCTTGTGTTGAATGGGCCCTGGTGCTGATGTCTGGGAAGAGCTGACTCTGGGGTGTCTCCTGCTCTGACAGTCTCACAGGTGACACCCATGACATGCAGCCTGGGACAGAGGGTTCCTTCTAACTGAGGAAATGCAACCAAACTAAGTTATTGCTCTTAGAAACTCCTAATATGGAAGGAAATCTGTATTAAACTAACAGCTGGCTCAGTCATGTTGTGTTTATTTTAATTGCATCTAATAATTTTTTAATTGTTACTGCATAGTTGAGTTTTATTCAAATTCTGCCTTTTTAACAAACTAATCAAATTGTAACCCTGAAAGAAATTGTCAACAAATGTCAGAATAAATGTTGTCTGTCTGATTTTAATGATTATTTAACTCTGTGTGTTTAACCAAAAGTTACTGTAATATTAGAAGCAAGAAAATGCTGCCTCTTTTTAATAACACTGGATTTCATCAGAAAAATTGCAGAAGAATGCCATCTAGTGTGGGTTTTTATATGTTATCATAGAACTAGAGACAGATATCTTAATGTAAACATACTGTGTTTAGCATGTAAACTATGGAGCAAATTTGTTTTCAGATCTTTTATTTTTAAGGTTGATTTTTCAATAATTTTTGAAGTATTTTCTTTCAAGTACAAGTTCCCAGATTATTCTTTGCCTGTAAACAATTTAAAACCCATATGTTTATGAAGTATATAATCTAAAGTGCCCATATACCAGTTCTATTGCAAGATTATATACATACATTTCCCTCTGAAAGCCTTTAAACTTTATTTTTGCATTCTTATTTCAGTGAGAAATTATGACTTCCAGTCTGAAATTCTTAGTTTGTTTAGATGACTGTAGCCATTTTAGCACATTTCAGAAGATTTTTGTTTGGAGATAATTTGGATATTGTAAACAGGAGGACTCTGCCAATTTAAAACACTGATGTGTAAAAAAATGTGTATTTGAAATATATCTAAAACTGTCTAAAAGCACTATACCTGGGAAGATTTTTTTTTAACTGGCTCTATTTCTACATTAGGTAACACTGCATCTGCAAGATGCTTGTCCTTAGTATAACTTCTTTCCTCTCTTTACTTCTACTTGTAGGGCAGCAGCCACTGAGAGGATTTTTTGTTTGCTTTTAATTAAAACGTCATCATGGAGAAAAAAAAAAAAAAGTTGCATAGTGGTTGGGAGGAACTAGTGCCTGAAAATATGATTAAAGAGTCTTGATTTGTTGCAGTCAGCAGTTGCTCTTGAAATTTTCCAATTTCTATGAATACTGTTACTCTCCTGCCATCTCCTCTTCCCTGCCCTGCTTGTTGCCCTGGCAGTTTTCATTAGTTTGGACATTACAGTGCACTGGGACCTGCGTTTTGAGACATCAACACATTCCAAAGTGTGCCTACTGTCTGCTCTATGAAGAGAGTGGTGCACGCTGGAGGAAGTAGTGGTTATAATTTTCCCCTTGAAAAATAGGATAGACTTCAGGAAGATCTTGGGGACCTACTTTTAAAGCAGTTAAATTTACAGGAGCTTAATCTCACCCTTTCTCTTCCACAGCTTCTGGTTGTTTGAGGAACCTGAGAACTGTACTGCCTTGGCTTTATTGTTTACCAGAGGGACTTCAGAATTAAGACTCTTTGCCTTTTCTCATTCTTCCTTACCTTTTCTCAGATCTTTCTGTCTTCCACTTTTTCCCCACTCTGTCTGTCCCACAAGACAATCCTTCCCTACGTTCCCACTAATATTTTGTTCCTGCCAAGCTGTCTACAGTTTATAGATTAACTTGTATTTGCAAATGCAGGTCTTCATTAAGGTCTTTATCTTGTGCTAGATGGATATCAGTATTGACTAACAGCAAAGAAGAAGCATTAAATATGGCATTCCGTGGAGAGCAGAGCACAGGGGAAAACAGTTTAGAGGATCTGACAAAAGCCATTATTGATGACATACAGAGATTACCCGGAAATGAAGTCTGTTGTGATTGTGGCTCACCAGGTATCTCACTTTGTTAATGTCATCAACTTCTTGTTGGGAGCAAAATAATTTCTTTAAAGAAGTGTTTGTAGAGTGCAAACTAATTTTCTAAGTGATGCGTTGATCAGTCTTCAACCTGTTTTTAAAAGAACAAATATGACTTTTGTACGTTAGTTCCATTTAATTCACTAAAATATTTTTGTGTGTTGTCTGTGCTTACTTCCAGCAGTTCAAGCCCCTCTGGAGTTTGAACTGTTCTTGTTGCACTGTCTCTAGATGCTTGTTGCACTTGAATGGAAGTTGCTTGGCATCACTGATCCTGTGCATGCTACTAAGTAGAAGTGAGTAATGCTTAGACAATGATTGTGGAAAAAATTGACCTGGCCTGGATCTTCCTCTGAGGTTTTATCTTGGCATGAGACTACTGGAGTTGCAGGATCAAAAATATTCAGAAGTGGAATGAGTAGTCTTGTACAAAGAATGAGACCCAGAGTTGGAATCCTATCAGATTGTATCTCCAGAAGTACAGAGTCACAGGGCAGCTGTATGTCACTCAGAGCCTGAGAAGAGTCAGCTTGCCACAGAAGTGCTGAATCAATCTGGTAGCTGGCAGATGTTACAGCCTTCACGTCTAAAGAGACACTTCAAGAAGCTGCCATTCATTTGGGACTGAGTAGATAGTATGTGTCTTGAAGATGCTCACTGACACAAAACTGATCCAAATAAGAAATACCTAGATAAATACCAAGAAATACCAAGTGGAATATACTCATGTCAGATTCTCATGCTGGAATTCGTTCATTCAATTATTTCATCATGTAAAACCTACAGAAACTTCAGATTACTGTTCTCATCCATCTTTAAATTTGAAGTGAAGTTTTAAGCTTTGTTGTGTCTGCACCCCAGCTTGCTGCTTTAAAATTCTTGACTAAATGCTTTATTGGTTAGTGTTTAAGATCAAGGAAGAGATTGATTTGAAGACGTGTATCTGTACAAAATATGGAGCATTTTCTTTTCCTTAAAAACTGGTCTTGCTTCTTATGTAGCTTAAATAGCATAAGATCTATTTGAACATTACATGCAGATCTCCTTGACAGCATTTTTTTTTTCCTGGACTAGCCAGTGTGCCTTAAATGTTCTACAATATACTATTGTTTTACATATTGGAAAATGCTATGGTTAGTCTTTTATGAAGAAAGACTATTTGAAATTTAAGAAGTAAAGATTAAAACTTCAGTGGTTGCCAGCAGTAGAATTTAGGAGATCTGTTCCTTTTAAAAACAGGAAACAAAAGCCTTACTTTCTACAAGAAATAAATCCTAAATGTATTCAAATACAGTCATTCAGTATGGATTTTTATGTCTAAATTCAGTGCCTTCGGGAATGCTCCTAAATCTGAAAAACTTAATTCTGTTGGTAACAATTTGTGGCTAAATTCACACTGCAATTTGGAGAAAAGTATGGAATATTCTTAGTTTATTTCTATTTGTTAAACCTTTAAATGAGGAATCATTTCAGAATACACTGGGATCTCTTAACACCATTGAAAACCTTTCCTTGGACTTTGATTAAATATTCTGCTTTTCAATTCTACAGATCCAACATGGCTGTCAACCAATTTGGGCATTTTAACCTGCATTGAGTGTTCTGGAATACACAGAGAAATGGGTGTCCATATTTCTCGAATCCAGTCTTTGGAATTAGACAAATTAGGAACGTCTGAACTCTTGGTAAGTTTCTTTCATTTGGATTATTTATTTTTTTTTTTAGGCAAATGCTGACCTACATATATTAAACGTTCAGGTGTATAATTTACAGCTAATTTTTTTCAAGATACAGATTTTGCACAATGTCTTCTCCTTATTTTTGTATGTATCTTGTACCCTGTGGGAGGGTTTTTACTGTTAGGTAATGTTGATGCTTTTGACCACTTGTTACTTCTCATAGTCCTGAGGTTTTTCAGAACAAATATTGCCATCCATTGTGATGAGTGCCATCAGAATGTTGTGTGTTATTAGTTCATCTTGACCCTAAATCAGAACAGTGTAGAATCTCATGTGATTAAAAAACTGAAAGTGAATGTAACTTGACAAGTGAGAATGACCATTGCTAATATTGACAGAAAAATGTTGGATGAATCTTTTAATTTGATGCAAGAAACCCTGTAACATTGAAGGAAAAAAAAAAATACAAACAAAAAGCCCCCACCCTGTTACAGGAAGTTTATCTCCCCAGCTATGTTTGGCCTGTGAGAAGACATTTGTTACATAAATACTGTATGGAAAAATGGAGAGAAGCTAGAAGGCAATTCTGGCAATGTTAAACAAGTTGAACATTAGCCCTAGTACTCTTTTTTATATCTTCAGTTGTTCTCAAAGTTACTATTCATTTAAATCGAATTTTATTAAGCATGACTATGAAGTAGTTCTGAGCATCTTTCCAAAAAATAGCTTCCTTCCAGCATATTAGCACCATTTCAGTGTTCATGGCTACTAGTTCCTATTTTTTTTTTTTTTTATATTAAAGGCAAATAGTTCTGAAATACAAATAATTAGCTGTGACTGTGAAGCCTATTGTACAAATTATGGGATGACAGATTCACACTTGAAAATAAGTTTTAATTGCTTTATATATAAATCTAATCATCATGCTTTAATTTTTCAATCCTGTGATTTCCACCTTTTATTAATAGTGAGGAGAATGCACATTTGTGGTCCAGTTTTTAGGTTGCTGTTAGACTCAAAAAAAAGCCCACATATATATTTGTTGTTTGTTTGTTTGTTTTTTTCTTTTTGCAGCTGGCCAAGAATGTAGGAAATACTAGTTTTAATGATATTATGGAAGGGAATTTGCCTAGTCCTTCACCTAAACCCAGTCCATCAAGTGATATGTAAGTTTTGAATCTTTAATTTCTTTAAGTTTACTGTGGAATAAATATATATGTGAAGCAAAATGTCTTAAACAGTAGCCAAGCTGGAGAAGGGCTAGGATGACAGAAGATGAGGTTTTTACTCTGTGGATTTTCTTGATGTGTAGTCACATTTTAACTGCCCTACCTTCTCAGTGGGGAAAACTTCCAAGTTTAGTTTCCAAGATTCATTATTTTCAGTCTTGCATGGTTTTGAATTTTGTAGCACACCTTCCATGATGAACACAGTTGGACTAAATGAGGCTACCTTAGGTACTGTCTGGAGATGGTGATGGGCTTTTTCTTCTCCCTGGCACAGGCATGGCACAGGCATTGCACAGAGAGCATAACAGATGTGGGTTTGCAAAAGAAGACCTTTAAACCTATTATGCTATTTTATAGATTAATTGATATTTTTTCTGTTATCCTGTTTTTTAGCATGCTTTTCATGCTTATCCTGTTTTTAATGTGTAAATATGTTTCCATGAGAAATCACACTTCAGGCTTTGTTTTTAATTTGATCCTAGATCCTGGGGTCAGAGAAATTTTTGTATGTAATGAGAAGGCAGGATAAAACTGAATAAGTACCTTCGTTTGGGCTCATTTGCAAGAAAGACATGCATTCTAATAATTAATAACACCATCTCTATCTGTTAGCTCTTCTCTTTCCTTCTCGGCTCCTAAGCTAGGCAAGGTGATTTTAAATTTAAATCATTGACCCATTTTCCTTAAAATTTCTAAACCAAGCTCCATTTTCACACCCCACAGGACTGCACGTAAAGAATTTATCACTGCTAAATATGTAGATCATAAGTTCTCTAGGAAGACTTGTGCATCTGCAGCAGCTAAGCTGAATGAATTACTTGAGGCTGTCAAATCCAGGGATTTACTTGCACTAATTCAAGTCTATGCAGAGGGGGTAGAGCTGATGGAGCCACTGTTGGAGCCTGGACAGGTAAGCTTCTCAGGTAAACAAAGCAGAGTGTTTTAAATACTGTGTGTTTGTAAAGTATCCAGGACCCTGGGCTGCTACTTTATATGCTAAAACAAGCAGTACAACAAATGAGAATGGTGGGGGTTCAGTTTTCTCAGTGTGCATCCTTGTGGGGAGGGAAAGATGATTGCATCTGTTGTCCTCAGTTGGTCTGGAGGAATGTGAAAGACAGTAGCCACATTCTACCCTGTTCTAGGTGCAACTACAGTGTGTCACAAAGGACCTGCTCTGCAGAATGTTTCTTTTAGGAAAAGGCACAGGGGGGGGCCTTGACTTATTGAGCCATGGTTGCCTGATACCACAGACAGTATCATATCTGCTTTTAAAGTAGCTGCTGAAGTAACATTATTGACTGTCCGTAAGTCTCTGTATGAGGGAAGAGTACATCTGGTGCCTTCACAGCTTCTGATGAAACATTTACAGAAGTACAATCTCTTTCATCCAGGAAGGGGAGATATTTATTCTTGTAATAATGTTCTGAATATTTCTTATTCCTTCTGAAGTCAGTAGCATTTTTTTTTTAAAATCAGTCCAGGTTTACCTCAAGTATCCATGTAGAAATGTTGCTCAAGAGCAACATAACCTGTTTTTATACATAACTGATGCTGTGTAACCATGTGGTCAGCAATGTTTTCTCCCATTTTTCAACTCAACTTGGAGAGATCTCAGAGAATATTTTCAACAAGTTCTGTGAAGACAGCTACCTTGGCAAAGGACAGAGTGCCTGTCTGTATTGAGTGGAGGGAGCAAGTTCAATATAGAATTAGCACTTGCTGTAGCAGAGAGTGCTTATCATGGAAACACATTACAGATTCTCTAACTACAAGGTGAACTTCCTGTATTTGTCAGCTGTAGCAGTCAACAAACACAGAATTAGCTCCATAGCATTTCTCAGCTATTGCAGTCTGCAATACCTGGGAAGGTATGAACACCCACTGAAATGTAGTCTGCAGTTAGGACATTTGCAGCAGCATTCTCCACTGTAAGTTCACTGATTATTAGTAAAGTTGTATTTTTTATAAAGCTGTGACTTTAAATGTGTGTCTTGTAATGCACTTCTTTTGTTAAATTGCCTTTTATGATCAATAGGAGTTAAGGAAATCTGGTTTTAGCTTAATTTCTCATGCACCTTTTGAACTGAATTAAAACAGCACTTATATTTTCATTTAAAACCATTAATGCACTTGTTATACATATAAAAAAGTGAAGTGTGATTAATTTGACATTGAACAAGGAGAAGTCCTATATCTGGGCAGGAATGTATGCTGGGAACCACCCAGCTGGAAAGCAGCTTTGCAGAAAAAGGCCTGGGGGTCCTGGTGAATGCCAAGCTGAACATGAGCCAGCAGTGTGCCCGTGTGGCAGAGGAGGCTGATGGTATCCCAGGCTGCACTGGACACAGTACTGCCAGCAGGTCAAGGGGTGGGGTCCTTCCTTCCTGTGGACTGCACACTGGTGAGGCCACAGCTGGAGTGCTGGCTGCAGTTCTGGGCTCCCCAGTGCAGGAGGCTTGCACATACTGGAGAGAGTGCAGTGAAAGGCCACAGAGATGTTTGAGAGCCTGGGGCACCTGGTGTATGAGGAAAGGCTGGGGGATGTGGATGTTCAACCTGCAAAGATGACAGAGACAGGCTCTTTGCAGTGGTGCTCAGTGAACAGGACCAGAGACAGTGGGCACAGACTGAAGCACAGGAGGTTCTCCTGAACATCAGGAAGCAATATTTTTAATGCTTCTTTTTGCTTGGTGCTCACCAAGGTGTCATGAAGCAACAAGTACTGCAGACTCAGTCAGTATTCCTTGACAGAATCCCTTTTAGTTACTTGTAGCCAAAATGGTTAAAGGCTTCTCAGGGTTGTTCCATCCAGCTATGAAAAAACAAAGACTTTTTTTGAGAAGGCTGTGGTCTCAGAAACTCTGATGAAGCACATGGTGTCTTTTAGAGGTCAGAAAGGCAGGAACTGTTTTCATCATAATTGCCTAATAATATTTTTCTGCTGAAAGACTTGCTGTAAGAGAGTGAGTGACATACATATCAGTAAGTCTGATATTGTAAGCTTTGCAAAAATAAACCACAGAAATCTAACTTACGTTTACCTGTGTTTAGGAGCCGGGTGAAACAGCACTTCACTTAGCAGTCCGGACTGCTGACCAAACCTCTCTCCATCTGGTTGACTTCCTTGTACAAAACTGGTATGAAATGCTCATTTGTCATTAAACTGTGCATGAAGGATTTAGATGTTCAGAGCTATCCTTGCAGTGCTTTGGACAGTGTTTGTTCATCACTTACAATTGTGGTCCCTAGATACGTTTCGAAAGACCGTAATTTAATAATTTTGAGTTGACCTTTGTGCTCCTAATGAGTAGAGAGAGGGAAAGCATAGGATAAAAATATGCAAAACAATTATATAAATATAGGATGAAAGGAAAAAATATGTAAAGCAAAAGAGAGGATTGAGTTAGAACACAAAACAGTACAAAACAATGCAGACAAATAGTTCAGGTAAAGGAGGGATGGCAGCAAACGTTCCAAATACAGGACACACGCAGAGAAGCTGTAAGAGTAGAAAACAGGGATCTTTCTCAGAAAGTTATTAACAGAAACAAGATTGACTTTGAAGAAAGTGTTGTAGTCATCAATAAACTCCATAAAAGCTATTGAGAGCATAAACCTCTTTACTGGTAATTTTCACCATCTACTTTATTGGCTGAACTATTCTTTCTTGTCAAGAGATGTGTTCATAGAAGTGAAAAACCATAATGAAAACATTTAAAAAAAAAAATCTCATGGTGTAGTGGTACAACATTATTCCTTACATGTTTCACAATGAAAGTAATGATGAAATGAGATCAATTCCAGTCCACTTCTACAGTATGCTATTAAGTGGAAGAAGGAGCAGTCACTTGCTGTGTCAGGGGGTGGTTTTTGCAGGAGGATGAGAGAGGACGGTTGGGGGAACACAAGAAGACTCATCACAGCTTGCTTGAGCTGGTGGGAGGGACCCTTGAGGATTCTTTTAATTTTTGTTTTTCCCTCAGCACAGCAAGTCATACCTGTTGTTGAAAAGCAGTTAGTGAATACTTCTTGTCCCTTCCCTCCTCCAATAGTTCATGGAGCTTTGCATACAGGGAGTGTTAGAAAGTTTGGTCTGGTAACAGCATAGACTTGAGTCTGTGTTCCTGAACCCATCTCTTGGGCTAGGTGGACTGGCTGTTCAACCTTCACATAAACTTTCTTCTACCACTACTTCTTGTTAAATGGAGTGTTGACTATAGTAGGAGTGTTATTAAAGTAAAAATAAAAAAAATAATAAGCTACAAATATTTGCAGACTGTTTGAGATCATCATTTGAAAAATGCTTTAGAAGTCCAAATTGTTATTTTAAGCATTATTAAAGGATTTGTTATTTTGGATGGTTATTGAAAATGATTTTGTTCAGTTATGAAGCTTGTGTGTTTCTTCAGACAACTCGCATCTTTTCTGTGTTTCTGTCAGCTATCTCTGTTTTGGTCTCAATTTCAAATTCAAGAGCTTCTGTACAACCATCTGGGCTCTGCACTTACTGCTCAGTATGGGTGATACTGACTGGAAGCAAAGCTGTCATCTTCTGGGCTTCTCTTTTCATTTTTATAGCTCTATTGTATTGATCCAAATAACTTTTTTTCTGAAAAACCTTGTTGTAGGAATTGAAAACTGAAGGAATTAGAGTTTTTAAGAGCCCTGTGAACCTCTTGGCACAGCTTGTCTTTCCCTCA